TGGTTGATCTGTTCACTATTGATCTTAATCCCACCCTTTCAGTTCATCCTCCGGAGCACCTATTCTAGACAGGAAGTTAAGGTTTTGTGGGAGATGATGTACCCTTGTTTGACGACATTCTGTACTAGAAGCCGGGGGTTTGGAAAGGCGACATTGTGAAGCAACCATAATTCACTTCCTCCTGGGCTCACAGAGGACCCATCGATATATACATGTATACATGCCCCCATGCATGCATGCCTAGGCTCATAGAGGAACCATCGATACATACATGTATACATGCCCCATGCATGCATGTCGATGTAACGACTCTCGGCTTGCCTTGTTCTGAAGGCTGCACAGAGGGAGCTGGTATTTCCTCGCTCTCTCGAGGAGTTGACTTAAGGTTAAAATGTTGTCCTTTGTGCTATATTTTTTTTCAAAATCCTGCCTGTCCTCGTGACTGCTGTTCGTGCACACTTGTTGCCAGCCTATTGTTTTTTATCTTAGTGAACAACTTGCAGACTTATTAAAGAGTAGGCGAATTGCACGATTGTTCTTCAGATCGTTTTTCTCGCCCATCCTGAAAAACACGATTGTTTTTAACTCTCTCAAGCATACTGGTATTTTGTCCGTTTCCAGGTAACAATTAAACTTCTTCCCTAAAGCCCTCCACAGGGTCTTTACACTTTCTGTGATTATTTCATTTGTCAAAACTTCACTGACTCGGACTCTTCCTTCCTTCATTTGCTACGTGACATACAGAACTTCGCAACGAGGACCGGGAGTACGCTACCTTCTGACTATTTGAGTGATGGTGGCGAAAAGAGTTTGGTGTAAACATCATTGCAGATTGCCTGCACCTCAGCTCTGTCAGAAGGCTCTGTCAGAACGCCCCTATCCTCGATCTTCAACGCCCTGATAGTCGACTGATGGAGTGCAAACTTTCTTCTGTATTGTCAACGGTCTTCAGATGCTTTCCCTAATTTTCGCAATCGGAAGGGCCATCGAAGTCCTCCGTCAGTGTTCTTCTAACGAGCTTGCAGAGAAGAGATAACTCCACCATGTCAGTCCCATCTTTCTTCATCCTCCTCCGCTTCTTTAGCAAACTCGTTCTCTCTTCTGAGATCGCTCCTTTCTCTCTATATGTTACTACCTCGGCTAACTTTACTCAGCGATCTTCCGTTTCTCATTGAACTCCTCGTTATCGTCGTCTCTGCTGTTTTTCAGGCTCCACTCTTCGCAGGAAACGTTTACGTGTTTGGAACTCCGTCTTGTCGAATTTTTTAGGTAGTTGCCTGCGGTTGTCATTTGCAATGCCTTCTTCTCGATCTCCTCGTCGAAGTCTGACCTTTCCCACGCCAGTTTGTGGTCATTGCCGGTGGTAAATGATGGCACTGCTGATGGCACCATGTCTTAAATGATGCGTCTCTTATCTAACAGGAAGAAGTCGCCGCAATGGGCGCCATCTCTATGCCTCATTTTGGTCTTCTTCTTGAATTATCTGTTGCCGACGAGCAAGTGCTTCGTTTCTTTCGTAGTCTGCAGCAGAGCTTTTGTCTCATTTCGCTCTCCAGTGCCGTACTTACCGACTTACTGGTCACCGGCCTTTGCTTGTCCGACCCTGTCACTGATGTCTTATATGAGGAGGTGATACGTGGACTTTAGGACCAATGCCTGTTCTAGTTCTTGGTTTGATCCTTCTGCTTCCTCCTCGTCGACTTTTCTTGTGCAAGCATAGGTTTGGATGATATCTAAGGTCCTCCTTTGTTCAGTTAGAGGCACAATTCGGAGAGTCTTGGTGTCTTCACTATCTTGAGGACCAAGCTTTTACAGACAGAAAATCGGATTCCTCATATGTTCTCCTCTTCTGAATCAGGCCGAACTACCGTCTTTTCAGATGCCATTCATCCATTTCCGCCGTCGTGTCTCACAGAAGTCAAAGATGTCGGTGGTCATCTTTGGCTTCTCCTCCGTTAGTTGGTCTAACGCATCTTCACTCTCCAATGTTCCAAAATTTTAGGTGCAAACGGCGAGAGGAGTCCAGGGTCTTTTTCCAGATGGCGGTCTTTCAGA